TTAACCCAAGTCTCTGTAGTCAACTAATATTTGAAAAAGGGGGAAAAGCATAAAATGGAGTAAAAATAGCCTCTCCAACAAATGGTGTTGGGTGATCTGGACAGCTACATGCAGAAAAAAATGAAAAGCAATCACCAACTTACACCATACACAAAAATAAATTCAAGGTGGATAAAATACTTGAATGTAAGACATGATACCATAAAAGTACTAAGGGAGGACATAGGCAGGAAAATCTCAGATATTCCACACAGCAGTATGTTCACCGATATATCCCCTAGCTCAGGGGACATACAGGAAAGAATAAACAAGTGGGATGTCATAAAAATAAAAAGCTTCTATAAGACTAAAGAAAACAGCATTAAAATGAAAAAAGATCCAACCCTGTGGGAAAACGTATTTGTAAATGATACCTTGATAATGACCTGATCTCCAAAATATGTGTAAAACTCACAGGACAGCAAACAACCCTATTGAAAAATGAGAAAGAACCTGAACAGACACTTCTCCAAGGAGCACATACAGAGGGCCCAGAGACTTATATAAATATGCTCAGCATCACTAGCCATCAGAGAGATGCAAATTAAAACCACAATGAGATACCACTTCACACCATGGAGGATGGCCATTGTAAACAATTCAGCAAACAAGTGTTAAGAGGTCAAGGAGAAAAGAGAACCCTAGTGCATTGTTGGTGGGAATGCAGACTGGTGCAGCCACTGTGAAAAATATTATGGAATTTCCTCAGAAAACTAAAAGCAGATCTGCCTTTTGACCCAGCAATTCCACTGCTAGTATTATATTCTAAGAATCCTGAAACACCAATCCAAAAGAACCTGTACACCCCAATGACAATAGCAGCACAATTTACAATAGCCAAGTGCTTGAATCATCTGAAGTGACCATCAGTAAATGAATGGATAAAACACTGTGGTACATTTACACAATGTAATACTACACAGCAGAAAGAAAGGAGCTCCTACCTTTCACTGTAGCATGGGTAGAACTGGTGAGCATTATGCTAAATCAAATAAGCCAGGCTGTGAAAGACAAATACCATATGATCTCACTATAAGTGGAACCTAATCAACAGAACAAGCACGCAAGATACAGCCAAATACTGTATTAAGAATAAGCTCTCATTAACCAAAGAGGAGGATGGAAAAGTATAATAAGGGATATTTTGGGAAGGGCCATGAAGGAACATATATAAAGAACATATGGACAAAGCCAAAGGGGGTAGGTTGAGGGTGGGAGGTGGGTATGAGCTGGGGGGGCCATGGTGGTGTGAAAATGGAGACAACTGTACTTGAACAACAATAAAAAATAAATAAATAAATGTTCCATGTGCATTTGAACAGAATGTGTATTTTTCTTGTTTGGTTGGAAGGTTCTACATATATTAGCTAAGTCCATTTGATCCAGGGCATTGTTCAATTCCACAATATCCTTATTAATATTTTGTCTGGGAAATCTGTTCATTTTTGTCAGTGGGGTATTAAATTCACCTAGTATAAGTGTATTGTTGTTTATCTTTTTTTCAAGTCCTCCAAGATTTTTCTTATATATTTGGGTACTCCTGTGTTCGGTGCATATATTTTTGTTTATGTCTCCATGATGGATTCTTCCCTTGAGTATTATGGAAGTGTCTCTTCTGTGTCTCTTTTTAGGGCTCTTGTTTGTAAGTCTATTTTGTCTGATACAAGTATTGCTACCCCAGAATTTTTTTCCTTTCTATTTGCTTGGAATATTTTTGCCAGCCCTTCCCTTTCAGTCTGTGTACGCCTTTTGTTCTGAGGTGGCCTCTTATAGGCAGCATATGTGCCAGTCATGTTTTCTTAGACATTCAGCCATCCTATGTTTTTTTGATTGGGACATTTAATCCATTTACGTTTAAGATTATTATTGTAGGTACTTATTCATTGCCATGTTACTGTCTTCATACCTGTGTTTCTCTCTCTCTCACTCTGCCTTTTTTCTTAAAGTAGTCCCTTTGGCATATCTTGCAGTACTGGTTTGATGGAGATGTGTTCTTTCAGCTTTCTTTTGTCTAGGAAACTCCTTATTTTGCCTTCCATTTTAATAGAGAGCTTTGCTTGATAGAGTAGTTTTGGTTACAGTCCTCTGTTTTTCATCACTTGGAATAGATTTTGACTTTCCCTCATGGCTTATAGTGTTTCCATTGAGAAGTCAGTGGCTAGTTTTATCAGGGCTCTCTTGTATGTTACTTCCTCTTCCTCTTTACTGCCTTTAAGATTCTCTTGTCTTGGAATTTTACCATTTTAATTATATGTCTTGAACTGGGCCTCTTTGGGTTCCTCTTGATTGGGTCTCTCTGTGCCTCCTGGATTTGTGTGACTTTTTCTCTCATCAAATAAGAGAAGTTTTCCATCATTACTTTTTCAAACAAGTTTTCTATCCCTTGCTGTTCTTCTTCTCCATCTGGTATCCCTATTATATGGATATTATTACATTTCATGTTGTCCTTCAGTTCACTTAATACCTCTTTGTTCTTTCTGAGTCTCTTTTCCTTTTCTTGCTGTATCTGGGTATTTCTTTCTACCTTGTCCTGCAACTTGCTGATTCAATCCTCTGCTTCATCTAGCCTGCTTCTGATTCCTTTACTGTGTTCTTCAATTCAAAAATTGTATTCTTCATTTCCTCTTTGCTCTTGTTGATTCTTTCTATGTCCTTTTTCATATTGATATAGTTTGCAGTAATTTCCTCATTGTTTCCCTGTAGTTTTTTATAATTCTCAGAGAGCTCATGGAGCTTCCTTATAACCATTGTTTTAAACTCAATATCTGATAGTTAACTTGCCTCTATTTCATTTAGCACTGCTTCTAGGATTCTTCCTTTCCTTTCATTTGGGTGTTGTTTCTTTGTCTTCCCATTATTTGTGAGATTCTTCTTTTTTTTGCCTCTGCTTCTTAAAATGATCTCTTTTGACTTCTTGATTTTGCAGTGTGAATATCTATGGTAGGGAACCTGTGAGATTCCGTGGTTCAGTCTCCTTGATCTCCTGAAGTTCATGCTCTTGGGATGCTCTTTATGCCATTTATGTTGGCTCTGTGGATGTATTTGGGTTTTGATTGTTGTTGGGTAATTCTTTGGTAGGTCCTTCCCTCCAGCTGGTTGACTGAGGGTCACTCTGACCACCACGTCTTGTATGCTGTTGTGCAGGTGCTACCAGAAGAAAACCACAAAGCCCAGGGAACAAACCCTCTTCCACAAAAATATCTCCCCCATAGCAATACCACTATCAACAGCAAATGAACCAGTACTAATAAGGGTGAAAAGAGATTAAGACTATTATAAGAAAGAGAGGAATAATCTATAGTATAAAATCTAGTGGCTTAATATGCACAAACTTGCTGGACAAGAAATGAATGTTAAAAAGCTATACTGGAAAGAAAATATCACTAATCATGGAGAAGACCACAGTGGATTTTGTCTCGGTAGCCTCTAATATTTACCACTTGCTTTTCTTTCTGGATCTGACTCTGGTGATATCAGATGTTGACCCCATCTGACCTTAGGCAGCCTGCTCCAAAATTGCCAGGGATCTACTCTGTGGCTGTCTCCTTAAGTTGTTAATCTAGCCACTCTGCACTCAGCAGTGAGGCTTAAGCCCCATAGGGTGGAGTAGAATTCCTCCTGGTTTGGGGGCTATTGTTTCCCCTCTAGCTGCTGCTGCTCACAGGGGAGTGGTCTGCCTGAGCAGGATGGCTGCTGCCATATAGGGGATGACTCAACACTGGGATCCTGGTGTCTATCTCTCAGCTCTCTCCCCAAAGCTTCCTTCCCCAGTCTCTCTTCAGGCATCTCCACCCCACTCTGCCTTTGCCTTTGCCAGAGCCCAGAGTAAGTGTCTACAAATGAAAATTTGTGAGTTGGCCCTTTAAATGGCTCTTTGAGTCTCCAACTGTCTGTCTCTGGCAGAGAGCAACCCTGCCACTTTTCGCTGCTGGTTGTTATTTGTGTTCTTTTTGGGCTCTGGTGCTCTAGGCTGGGGATTGCAGCTTAGGGTTTAGACCCGATTCTTCTCAGGGGGATCCAATTATCCACTTAATTATCCCTTCTTTGCTGCCACTTGTGGGGGCCCAGTCAGCGCTCTTGAGCCTCCACAGCACTCCTTACCAGTTAGTCCTAAAGATAATATTTCTGTCTGTCTGAGGTTATAAGGCTTCTCTCTTGCTATTGTTCAGTTTGTTCTGGGTAACTTCTCCATAATTTGGTGGTAATTTCAGATTGGTCCTGGGAGGAGGTTAGTGTGGCTTCCATTCACTCCTCTGTCATCTTGCCTGCCGTTAAATTCTTTTAAAATATTATAACCAGTTATATAAAAGTGGATTGGTTTAATAATGAGCTGTTCATAGTTTCAACATTTTTTTTAGGATTTTGCTACTCACAAGGGAACAAAAAGTGATTCAAAACAAGACATCCTCATTTGTTGCAGATATATTTGGATTCAAAATTGTACCTCACTTTAAGAAAGATGTGATGTTGAACCAAAGAAATTTGTGATGGTTTAATGGACCAGTGAGTAAGTCTAACAATACTATCAATTTTTTTCTGTTCTTCACTGCATGAGAACTTTCCCTTTGAGCTGGGACACTATTAAAGGGAAGGAGGACAATATTATCATTGGCCATTTACCACTTGTACCACTTTGCATTATTCAAACTTTATCTTTCTCTGGGAACAAATACATTTCTTTACTCCCACCAAGATTTCTCAGATTTCTCTCCTGTTAAGTACCCAAACAGAAATCCTTGGAAATCCCAAAAGAAAAGCAACAAAGGCAAAAATTATTCTCCAAATCAGTTTATACTTTTCATCAAAACCAACTCCTTGAAATACATATAAACATAAAATAAACAATGTTACATCTATTATGTAACATAAAATCTTTTTTCTTATCAATAAAAGTTTTAGCATGTAATATATTTTTAAGAATAAAGATCTATTTTTTTCATGTCCTATTCAATTAAATCACCTTAATTATTAGCACTGCTTTCTATGAAATGAATATTTTCAGAAATTTGGGTATATCTGGTATTTAAGTCAAAAAATTTTTGTCTATCTTTTAGTGTCATGAGGGCTTCTTGTCCCACTGAGAGGCAGAAGTTGATAGTGCTTTTGGTATTCTTGTATTCTAACAATACCTGGATGAGCTGCAAGAAGGAAATGCTTAAAAGCAAAAGGTAAAAAGAAAAAGTAACAACATTTCCTGCCACAGGACTCACTATTTGAATTATTCTACCATACCCTCACCCCTACCTTGGGAATCTTGTGGATTTATTTCTACCACAGATCCTAATTTATTAGGGGGAATGCTCAGGGTGTGATGAGGCCTTCATGGAAGGGTGTGATGAGGCCTTCAGGGATGGTGCAAGAGAGGAAGGCCATGGGGAGTGGGAGCACATGGGCTCTCCTTAGGAAAAGGAATGGGGGTCTGCCTGCTGCTGTTTGTGAGGCACTGATTGCAAAACAACACTCTCCCATTAGAGATGTGGAAGACTCGGTTGTGAAAATCAAGAGGCAGACTGTGAAATATCCATGGCTTTCCATGTGGCTATAGTACTCAGACTCTGACTGCTTTCCAGATGGATACCAATCCTTCATCCTCATCTGTTCTGAGCTGACATAACTGGGTCAAATTCTCACATAGACCCTACCTCCACCATCTATCAAATATACTAGTAGATAAGGAGGGGAAAATATGTGAAAACAATCATTGATTAAATTGACACTTGATTGTATAGTAATGGATTTGAGAGGTTCACAGATTCCAGTATGAGTTGAAGTACCAGCTCTCAGATAAGTCTTCCTATCAGAGGAATAAGGGATAAATGCCATCCTTCCCTTAGCTCTGAGGGTACTCAGAAGGTTGGCAAATCCTTGTACATGATTACTTTAAAAAACCAATGGAGATATATTTTCTTAGTCAATTTCCATCCATAAGTCCCAAACAAGCTAATATATTTTGACAAAAGTGTACACAAGATAACCCCGAAAGAAAGGTTTATGAAAGTACATTTCTCATCCTTTTAATAACACCATCACCACCCATTTCAAAGATATTTTTCATTTCTCAAAAAAAATTTTCTTCACCTGTACTCTATAGCTGAAGAATCACTTATTTTTTAATAATTTTACTATGTTTTAATCCTTGAGTTACATGACCTAAATACCATTATAACTTTTTACTTCATTCTTAAACACACCTTGGCATCTTACTATTTTGAACATAGCTAGAATATAGAAGAGCAACAGATAGCTATGGTTTTTAGAATCCTGACTTCAGTTCTTCCTGCAGATGCAGGCAGCAGTAATTGTTCAAAGATTGAGATTAACACAGATGTGCAGTTGAATGGGGCATTAACTTGTGGCAGATGAATGGAGACGGGGCACAGAGGGTTATGCGTTTTTGTTGATGATGAGTGCAATGCTGAATAATGAATGTGATGAAAATTAAATGAGCATAACTTTTTGGCATTATTGCTAATTCAGCAGGCATTCACCAATACAAGCATGTTTAATTAATCCCTAATGCACGTTACCTTGGATTATCTGACATTAGCCTGCTTGTAATGCTTTGTTGTATAGTCAATAAAGTACTTAACATCTTCTCTATTGTTTCCACCAGTTAAATATATAGCCATGTGCCTCTTAACTATTAGGGGTATGTTCTGAGAAATTTGTCATTAGGAGATTTCATCCTTATGTGAACCTCATAAAGTGCACTTACACAAATCTAGATAGTATAGCCTACCACACAAGTAGGTTGTATGGCATAGTGAATTGCTCCTGGGCTACAAGACTGTATAGGATGTTACTGTGCAAAACAACATGAGATTAAATCAAGTATGAGGATGATGTAATCAAGAGGTACTGTATGAAGTTGCAGCCAGTGTGACATAGCATGTTGTCATATAGCAAACTTTGTTTTATAAGTAGAAAGAGTACATTCTAAAATAATGATGAAAAATGTAATATAGTAGGCACATCAACCAGTAACATTTATTATCATTATCCAGTATTATGTCCTATACATAATGCATGTGCTATGCTTTTATATGACTGGCAGTGCAGTGGTCTGAACACCAGCATCACCACAAACATGTGAGTAATGTGTTGTGCTATGAAGTCACTAGGTGACAGTAAATTTTCAGCTCCATTATAATCTTATGGAACCACTGTTGTATATGTGATCCATTATTGATGAAAATGTCATTATGTGGCACATGATTATAGGTCAAACCCCATTATTATTAACTTAAGAATTGCTAGGGAATTGGGTAGAAAATGTTATGGAAAGATGTTCAGATTATGAGCTTTTGTTGTAGAAATAATAACAATGACTAGTAGTTGTTAATACTTACTATGCTCTACAAACTTTATGTTCTAAGAATAATGATTAATTTAGTTAAACTTCATAATGGCCCTATGGGATTAGATATTAATATTACCATTTTGTAAATAAGGAGACTGAGGACCAGATAAATTAACTAACTTTCCCAAGGTTCTCAGCTAGTAAGTGAAGAATGTGGAGTTTAAACACAGGAAGTTGTGTACCAGAACTGCCCAGTTATTTCCCCAAATGATCAGACTTGAAGATATTTTTCATTTATTCCCAACTCAATGATTTTAGAATTAAAACACATGGAAGTACCTTTGGAGAGAGAGGAGGTGTTAGAAAAGGATAGTGTCAGAAGATATATGGAGGTTTGAATCCCTGCTCTGCCCATTATTGCAAGGTGACCTTGGGAACATTACTCAATCCCTTAGGAACTTCAGTTATGCTATCTGTGAAATGGAGCAATGGTAACACCATCTTGCTGGGTTGCTGAAATAATGCCTTTAAATGCCCAGAACAGGGACCCCATCACTGTCTGTTCTCTACCCACTTCCAAATATGCCCCAAAAAGTAAATGTTTTTCCCAATTACCTTGGTGACTAAGGGACATCTCAAATTCTCTACAGCCCTAGCTCTTGTTCCAGCCTGTAAATAGGTAGATCTGCACTGTTGCAGCTAAATGCCCAGCACAAATGCTTGCCCTGTTAAGGCTCCACAGAATGTTTCAGAGTGTTCTCAGTTGAGCTTCCCACTGTCCAGCCCTTGTAGTGTTGTGTTGCAAGGATGGGATATATTCTCCAGAAGGTCAGGGAACAAGGAAAAACATTCTCCTGGGTACAGATTATCCAACTGGTCCCTTCTTCAGATTCAATGGGGCTTCCTCTCTGTTGAGAGCCCTGAAACATCTGCTGGTGAGTGGTGACTCAACTGCCTCTGAGGAGGCCAATTTCCTCCCATTTCCATCCCCCTGCCATTGAGTCCCTGATTAGGAAGGTCAGTATTTAATTATTTCAAGCTTCATCGGTCTTGTCAGCTTCATACACATACTCATAGAAGAGGTGAGTTTCTTGTTTACAGACAAATGTCTGAATCTACTGCACCAAGGTCATTGAAGGTAGCTGGATATCTGAATTAACTACTGCAAGGTAATACCAAATATGGACAGAGAATTAGTAAAATTGGGAGATGCATTTCCTTTGCTCCTGATTTTATTATTTTTGAGCATGGTGTCTTTTTAGACCAGTAGTGCTTGTGTAGGTTCTCTGCACTCTACAGAACTTGGAAAGAGGATTTGATGAGGAAGGAGAGGTCCCTGGAAGGTTCTTGTTATTTTGAGGACTGTAGGGCATGAACACTTTCAGGCTGTGACTCATCCCATGGCCATGACCACTATTAGCCCAGGTCAAGGGCAACACCCTGCCTTTAATGGTCTCCTGTTGGGAACTGCCCTGCCTGGTTTCAGAAGCTGTAACCCTCCATGGCTAAGGCTGAGTGAGAGACTTTGGAACCCTAAGCCACTAAGGAGACAAAACTAATCTCCCTGGCAGGGGCACCCCCTCTGCCCCCTTTACTTCACCCTGCTTGGCCCCGAGTGGATGACTGGCTGGCCAAGGGCAGGTAAGATTCCTCAAAGGAGGGATGACCCAAGACAGACATGGCCATGAAGGGGCCCTCAGGGAAGGACTTGGGGGGGCTATAGAAAAAGGGGGTGATGGAACCTTGCCCCTTGGCTTTGACATAGCCTGAGTCCTCATTCTGTCTGCAAGAAGCCTCCTAATCTCTTGGCTGCCTTACTACCCCTGCCCAACTTAAGCCTGAAACAATGCCAGAGGTAGGTGCAGCCCTGTGCTGAAAGGGCAGGTTCCCCAGGATGATCAGGCCTAAGAAAGAATGCATAAAATCCTGTGAAACTTGCTTTGCTAATACCCTCAAATTAAATGATAAGGGTCCAAGCATGAAATGAGTTTATTTCCCCAAAGTTTTATGGCCCTTTAGCTATCTGATCCTGACTCAAAATAAGCCCTCATAGTTCTTTGAATGTTATCTATTGTTTGATCCTTACTGCCTGACAATGATTGATGAGCTTTATGCATAAGCCCTGTATTCCTATGCAAATAAACCCAATAAAAGCCCTTTGAGGAACAGGCTCCTGGCCCTTCTCCTTTGAGGGATCTGCCACCTTTCCTCCCCAAGCAGATCATGTCTTGGTAGACTTATTCTCATTCCTGGCAGATGGGGGGTGGGGTGGCTCTGCATATGGAGCTCCCCCCCCCCCCCCCGCCACAGTCTCCTACTAAGCACCTCTCATCTACTCAAAAAGGGAACTCATGGGTGCTGGAGAGATGCTATGTAAACTGGCTAAACTTCCACACATAGATATGGAAGTTTCAGAAATTACCACCAAGGCAATTTTTGTCAAGATTTTGTAAACCTGCCACTCCCTCCAGTCAGTGGAGGTGTTTCAGTTGTTTACTGTGTCGATCTTGGCATTCAAGGACCTATCTCTGATGTCTGAAACATGTGTTTTACTCTTCTTGGATCACCTTAATGTTGTGGAATAAGAATAGACTTGAGATCAGGCAGGCAAGGGGTCCAATCTCTATTTCATAATTTACTTACTGTATGACTTTGTGCAAGTCATTTAACTTCTCTGAGCCTCAGTTTTCTTATCCATGTCATGAAAATAATCAGAATAGATGCTATGTAGTATTGTATGGCTTCATGATAATGTATATAAAGGGCATATAGTAGGTGTTGGATAAATAGCAGTCCTTAATTTTATATCTTTTAATATGTATCCCAATTCCATATTTTCAAAATCCTTTCTATTCAGATTGTTCGCTGTTTCCTTTCTTTGAATGCTAGAGGCACTTTCAATGCATACCACTCAGTATAGTGGCTAGTGGCCATCTATTTCTTAGTTAAGCTAACCATGTCAAGGAAGGTCTGGGAGGGCAAGACCCAGGCCAGCCACATATTCCTCACCTCTAATCATTCCAGTGCATATTAATGAACCCCAAACTGAGCTGAGCAGTGACCAACAGATACACTATTATTATCATGCCTGGCAAAATCACTTAAAGCAAGGATCATTCTAGAATCCTGTGTCATTGATTGGACAATGTGTTCTTTATAGGTTTATTAACCACCTGGTAGTTTTTAAGCCCTTGAAAAAACTGACCAGGAGTTGGGGCCCTAGTGTCTACCTTATTGCCTGTGGCAGTGTCCACCAGGGGACCCAGGACCCTGAAGACCAAGCTTCCCACAACCACAGGACACTGGTTCTGGCTCAGGGGTTTCAGCATCACCCAGGCTGGGTCCACACTTGGGCTTTCACACTCCTGAGATGATGAAGGCTCTGGAGGGTGGCAAGGTGACTGGTCTGGGCTGGACAGCAGACTGTCATCTGGTAGCATCTCCATGATATTTCCCACATTTTCTTTATCCTCCTCCTCTTCTATGTGTGACTGCAGTATATGAATCACATATTCCAAAAGCAGTAAATGAAGCAGATGCCAGGACCCTACATTTAAATAACAACCCAAAATGAATAATTATATAAACAAAAACAGATCAATGTGAAACTTAATTTTTTGAGGCTTTTAAGTACTGTGTACTAGACCCTCACTCCTATAGCTGATTCTGAGGGGTTCTAGGCAGAGTCCATCACCCATGTGGCTGACATTCCATATCCAGAGAACCCCAGCAAGGTGACTTTTGTACAGAAAGAACAGAAAGCTAAATAGCCTGAGCCATGAAAGGAAACTTAAAACTCATCTGGTTTGAGATGGATTAAATCCTACAGAAATTCTCAGAGCAGGGGACTTGCACCCTCAGCCTCCCATGGGTGGCATGCAGGGAAGCAAAGGAGAGGGTGGAGGAAGGTGCAGGCAGAGTACAGAGGGGTCCCACTGCCATTTGTGATGCTGCAAATGAAGCCCTTTCCCCTGCTTCAGTCTGTGTAGCTGCAACTTTTGATGAGCGAAGTGGGTGAAGGAAGGAGGCTGGTGCTCAGCATAGAGAGACATCCTCTCTCGTGGGCCTGTCACTGGGGAGATTGTGTAGGGGAGACAGTAGGGCAAGCTGACTCAGCTGACTGCTTTAAATCCTAAGGCCTTTGGCCTTCCAGGAAAAAAAAAGGATAATTAATGTTCAGATGAGAAGCAGAGGAGATCTGACCTATTATAATTGTTAAAAGACAAATTTTTAATTAAGGTAAAACCACAAATCTTATACAAATATAAAATGAGCATGAATGAATGCAGGAACTAGAAAGCTGTTGCAACTGGTTCAGTGAAGAATTCAAAGTATCAACATAGACAGTAGAGAATGCTGGCATTAATTTACAAATAGTTGCAAAAGGGATTCATCCTTGGGGTGGTAATCACTGCATCCACTTGATACCACCAGCAAGCATTTCTGGGGAGGACTACCATTTGCATTACTATCAGTTTCATACAAGGTACAGAGTTGTAAAATAACTTAAAGATAATGCCAGGTGGAGACAACTCAGAAGGGGTGCCCAACCATTTTGTCCACTTCAAAGACTTTTGTCTATTCCACAGCCCTTTACGATGTATATTCATTGATGGATCTATGGTGAAAGATGCTGGTTTGGTGGGATGGCATGATCTGGTATGGAATGAGCCTAACAACTCCTGGCCTGTTTAAACTTGGAAACTATGGTCCAAGTGATGAGAAAAAACAGCTGGTGTTAATACTTTGACTTCATATGGAGGTCTAGAGAAGGTAGTCAGGGAAAAACAACAACTACAGGACAATTTTTTCCCCGTGATTGCATGTGAATATACTTTTATCACTTTAGTATGGAAGACCATTAGCATAAAGCAGAGCCAATTTGGACATCATTAGAGGGGAGAACCTCATTACAAATGATTGTCACCAATAGGGCAGCTTACAGCAACAACTCCTGAAAGAGCTCCATGGTGTTTGCAAAGCTGACCTAGAGTAGGACTTGTCTTTTCTTCCTATTCCACTTGCCTACTGTGACCACCTGCCTACTATGAGGGCACCAAGCAGCACCCCCTGGAGCAGGGCTCCTCACCCTGCTTAGTGTGTAAGCATGGTGAGAAGACTTTGCTTGTCTTTCCCCTGCTCTATGTCCAGTGCCCAGGAAGGTGACTAGGACCTTTCAGGGCCACAGTAAGTATCTGTTGAGATGAATAATCCTTTCCATGAGGCTGTGGTGAACTTCCTAGAACTCTGCTATGCTGCATCGGAGCCATGGTGGTGACAAATGTGACCTTCCCTGACAGGTAAAGACCATCTATTTGACCAGAAAGTTTGTGAAATGAATACTACTTTAGATTTTCCACTGTACATTGGTGACTTTATCAATTGTTATTACTGCAAGTTAAATATGAGTGCCCCCAAGAACCCATTTTTTAATTTTCAAATGATTTTATTTTGATTATTCTTCAAGTACAATTTTCTATCTTTTACTCCCATCCAGGCTCACCCACCCAGCCCTCCTCACCTCCCTCCCATTTCCACCCACCCCTAGTTTTTGTCCACATAACCTTTATACTTGGTCCTGTAAACCCTCTCCCTTTTCCCCTGAAATTCCCCTGAAATTCCCTCCCCTCTCCCCTCTGAACACTGTCAGACTGTTCTCTATTTTAGTGTCTTTGGTTATATTTTGCTTGTTTCTTTGTTTTGTTATTTAGGTTCCTGTTAAAGGTGAGATTATATGGTATTTGTCTGTCACTGCTTGGCTTATTGCACTTAGCATAATGCTTTCCAGTTCCATCCATGCTGTCACAAAGGGTAGGAGTTCCTTCTTTCTGCTGCATAGAATTCCATTGTGTGAATGTACCATAGCTTTTTGATCCATTCATTTATTGATGGGCACCTAGGTTGCTTCCAACACTTGGCTACTATAAATTGCACTGCTATGAACATTGGGGTGCATAGGTTCTTTTGGATTGGTGTTTCAGGGTTCTTAGGATATAATCCTAGCAGTGGAATTGCTGCGTCAAAAGGCAGATCGTTTTTAGTTTTCTGAGGAAGTTCCATACTGTTTTTCATAGTGGTTGCACCAGTCTGCAATCCCACCAACAGTGCACTAGGGCTCCCTTTACTCCACAACCTCTCCAACACTTGTTGTTTGTTGCTTTGTTTATGATGGCCATTCTTACTGGTGTGAAGTGGTATCTCATTGTGGTTTTAATTAGCATCTCTCTGATAGCTAGCAATCAGAGCATCTTTTCATGTGTCCCTGGATCCTCTGTATGTACTCCTTGGAGAAGTGTCTGTTCAAGTCTTTTGACCATTTTTTAATTGGGTTGCTGCTAAAATCTTTTCCACTAAGATCAGGAACAAGACAAGGTTGTCCACTTTCACCACCTAGTCTATTTAATAATATAGTATTGGAAGTTTTAGTCACAGCAACCAGACAAGAAAAGGAAATAAAAGCATCCAAATTGGAAAGGAGGAAACACAACTGTCATTGTTTACAGATGACATGATAGTGTATATAGAAAATCCTGTAGACTCCACCAAAAAACTACTCGACCTAATAAACAAATTTGGCAAAACAGCAGGATACAAAACCAATATTCAGGAATTGAAGGCATTTTTTATACCAACAATGAAACAGAAGAAGCAGAAATCAAGAAAAAATACCATTTGATATAGCAAAAAGAAAAATAAAACACCTAGGAAAAAATCTAACCAAGAAGGTAAAAGACCTGTATGCGGAAAACTACACAACACTGAAGAAAGAAATCAAGAAAGACACAAACAAATGGAAACATATACTGTGTTAATGGATTGGAAGAATTAACATCATCAAAATGTCCATACTACCCAAAGCAATTTACAGATTCAATGCAATACCTATTAAAGTGCCAGTGGCATATTTCACAGACATAGAATAAACACTTCAAAAATTTATATGGAACCATAAACGACCCCAAATATTTGCTGCAATTTTGAGATAGAAAAGCAAAGTAGGAGGGATCACAATACCTAATACCAAACTGTATTACAAGGCCACTGTAATCAAAACAGCCTGGTACTGGCACAAAAACAGGTACATGACAAATGGAACAGAACAGAGAGCCCAGAAATAAACCCAAGTCTCTATGGTCAATTAATATTTGACAAAGGGGCTGCAACAGAAAATGGGGTAACAATAGTGTCTTCAACAAATGGTGTTGGGAGGACTGGACAGCTACATGCAAAAAAAATGAAACTCGAGCACCAACTTACACCATACACAAAAATAAATTTAAGGTGGATAAAAGATATCAATATAAGCCATGACACTATTCAAGTCCTAGAGGAGAACATAGGCAGGAAAATGTCAGATATTTCATGAAGCAACATTTTTACTGATATGTCCCCTAGAGCAAGGGACATAAAGAATAAACAAATGGGATCTTATCAAAATAAAAAGCTTCTGAATGGCTAAAGGAAACAGTATTAAAATAAAAAGAGAACCAACTGTATGGGAAAACACATTTGCCAGTGATACCTCAGACAAGTGTTTAATCTCCAAAATATATGAAGAACTTACCTTTTTTTTTTAGACCTCACTTATCTCCCTTGGTGCTTTTCTCAAAATGTCCCAAAGCACATAATTCAAAAACAAGGGCATGGTTCCTGTGCATCCAACAATGAGGAATGGGAAAGTAAAGAGTGGTTCAACTGTTTGCTGGACTCTTGTGTTGCCATTTTTTTTAATGTTGTTATAGCCCTGGCCAGGTGGCTCAGTTGGTTGGAGCACCATCCTGTTCACCAAAAGGTTGTAGGTTCGATCACTGCTCAGGATGTGTAAGGGAAACAGCCAAACAATGTTTCTCTCTCTCCCTTCCTATCTCGCTAAAAAAATCAATAAACATTCCCGCAAGTGAGGGTTAAAATAAGTTTTTTATGGTTTTATGTGTCTATGTTGTATTTTACATGAAAAGGTTAAAATAAGACTGGATTCTACATAAAAATATGAAAAGTTATTATGCTATAATAACATTTTAAGGTACAAGTGATTTGCATTCTCTGACTTACCAAAACTGTGTGTCTATTGCAGTCATGTCTTTGCTCATGGTGGTGGGAAGGAAATTCCATATTAGCTGGAAGCTGGCAGCCAACTTGAGGAACTCCTCTTTGCTTCTGCTTGGCTATTACATTTTTGACAAAATGAAGATGAGCACGTTTTCAAATGCATACATTTGTCAGGTACAGACATGTTTTAGTGGAGAAATGAGAAGAGGAAGAAGAACTGATAAGGTGAGAAGAGAGGCAGTGGTACACCAACCGTTTTCTGGTCTTGATCCATTTTGTCTAGAGATGAGTCCAGGGCAGAATGATGTAATTTATCTGAGGACCAGAAGTTCCCAACTTTGTGTCCAGCAGAACCAAGGCCATCTGACAACTCCAATGACACTTAACTGAGCACCCATGGGATGCTTCTACATGCAGACAAAGAGACTCTCCATGTACATTGAGAGTAGCCTTGGGCCTCACTTTAAGTGAATTACAACCAATGGAGTCATATGAATTTCACATGCATATGTTGGAAAGGCTCCCTAAGACTCATCATATGCATGTGGTCTGTCTACTTGCTCAAACCAAGTCCCTGAAGAAGAGATGGAGAGACTGGATAGACATGAGGACATGCCCTTTCTCATATTTCCTTGTCTTCCCTTCTGCCCCAACTGAAACCCACTCAATGTACAGAAGGATTGTCCTAGGCTTTGGGTACATGGGAATTCTCTTTAATAGCAACATCCCACATGACTTCTGATCACCTAAGCTAGTGTTTCTGATCACCTGAAATGGAGCTCCTGGAAGGAACCATGCATTCAATAAACACAAATACACTTTCTTTTTTTTTATTTTAATCATTGTTCAAATACAGTTTTCTCCTTTTTACTCCCAATCCAGTCCTCCCTCCCACCCCTCCCCACTTCCCTTCCATTACTACCCTCCCCTTAGTTTATGACCATGTGTCCTTTAAGTTTGTTCCTTTGAACCCTTCCCACTGTTCCCTTAAATTCCCTCTACTCTCTTCTGTGGGCACTGTCAGCCTGGCCTCTATTTCAGTGTCTTTGGTTATATTTTCCTTGTTTGTTTTGTTATTTAGGTTCCTGTTAAAGGTGAGATCATATGGTATTTGTCTTTCACTGCCTGGCTTGTTTCACTTAGCATGTTTTCCAGCTCCATCCATGCTGTTGCAAAGGGTAGGAGCTCCTTCTTTCTTTCTGCTGCATAGAATTCCATTATGTAAATGTACCATAGTTTTTTGATCCATTCATTTACTGATGGGCATCTTGGTTGCTTCCAGCATCTAGCTATTGTAAATTGTGCTGCTGTGAACATTGGGATGCATAGGTTCTTTTGAATTGGTGTTTTAGTATTCTTAGGATATACACTTTCTAAAAGCATTGAGAGCAGAAGCTCTGGTGGTTGGTGCTCTCTGCAATAATGTTTATATGTAAACCACAAACAATGAGCATTACTCTGCTCACCACTAGTGTGGTACTTCAGGGTCTTACATTTAGAAATTCTCCTGGACCCACCTACATGAGAATGGGGAGAATAGAGCACATGACACCACTGAACATTTCTTTTGCTAGCACGCTGTCAGGTGTGAACAACTGAAGCCATTAGTCATCTCTGACAAGCCCAAGTTTACATTTTTGGTTCCACTTAATGAAGTTTGTGACCCAGTGTCCCCCTGCAGTCTTTGTTAATGAACCCAGTTATATTTCTGCCCCTTCTCCTTGACTGGAAAAACAGGGATACAGACAAAGCCAGGTGGGGAGGAAAGGGGAAAGAAAGAAATATGACTGAGACTTAAAGGATAAAACCCCCAAAGTCCAGTTCCTTGTGCCACACCTCCACCTGTTTGCTCTGCTCCACAGAAGTCCTGTTCTTCCCTAAAGAGGTACTGCAGTGTTTCATATGCTCACTGTGCCCATGTTGTTCTCTTATGAATATTGTCTTTTTATGTTATTTTCATCTTACTGATGTGGACTCTGTCCAGTGGGGTCCATATGTTGTGGATGCAATGAACAAATTCACACAGACTACCAAAGGCCTGCGGAGAAAAAGGGATGGCGCGGCCACTCTCTCAAGGGGAGAGAGCCTCGACCCCTGCCTTGACAAGCTTTTATCGGCTTTCTAATAGCATACATCAAAGAAGGTTCTCATTCATTATACTCAGTTTGCTTTAGGTAATTACTTTTTACAGATAACAAAAGAAAGGATTTACTGATTACTTCCTAGAGATTAACAAGGAAAAAATATTGCAAATGCAAGGGAATGCTAACAGTAATTGTTCTGGTTACACTCTGTCCTTGGGAGAATTAGCACAGACTTCAGGAAGTTACTTTAAAGATATGCAGTAAGCATTTGCTGCTTCAACTCAGGGTGAGGGAGTTTTAGCAACAGCAAGTCTCAAAGCAGCCTAAGTATAATGCAGGCCTGGTTTCCCACAGGAGAGCCAATCCATGCCTATGGTCTTTCCAAGAGGGCTGGGCTACATTTGCCATTGTCAGGCAGATTGGTTCCCTATATTTCTCTCCTTGTTTTTAGTTAGGACTGCTATAGATCCCACAAAGCTTGCTACTTGCTGGTCTCTTGCATAACCCTGGGAAAATAATTTGCAAATGCATTGAAGTATACAAAACATTATTAGAATCAGTAAACAACTGGTGACTCCAAAGGCCCACATTCTCAGGTTAAGTCCATCAAACTGATTGTTTGGATTTAGCCATCGAGATTATCACGGAGGGTTTGAAAACCCTCCTGCTTGGTCAAGCACTGAATGTTCTGCAACTGCTGATGCATCTCTATCTGCAGTTTATCAAGTTATCCCTTTAAATTGACAGAAAAAGTCCCTCTGAGGTGATGTTGAATATTGGCTCCAGAAGTGCTGGCTGGAGTTCCATTGGAGTTGGGTGATGCACAGCCTGGAGAATCCAGAGTCAGCTGTTGGAAGGTCACTAATGCATCCTGGTGCTTGACAATCCACTCAAGTGCTGATTCAACTGCAAAAAGGCACATCAGGATCTCTTGATCAATCTGGGCCTGTTGGATCATTTCTAAGGTGGTATTGTTTAAGAGAACATCAACAGTATGAGCAGTTTGAACTGAGTCAACTGAGGGTGGCAGTTGCCATGGCAGCAGTAGCTGCAACAACTATAGCAGAAAAAATGAATGCAATTAGAGTGCTGACAAACCATTGGATTCTTAAGGAGGATAGCACGTTGTTAAGTGCTATTATGCCCTTGGGTTCCTCCCATTCTCTGGTTACATCAACTGGCACCCATACTTGAGTTTGTCTTCTAACTATATAAACTGTAGTGAGGTTTAGCTAAGTAATATTGAGATGGGTAAGGCAGCTGGCATATATGGAGCCCACAAGGACATGCAGAGAATAAATTTTTGCCAATTCATTATAAAAGACCTGGGCTGTCCCTGGGGTTGCAAAAAACAGGTAGGGGTGAGAGGTACAAACTGTGACCCAATCTTGTTCTGGAGGATCAACCTGGTAGCAACATCCCAAAACACCTTCAGGGTCACAACCAATTTTTATATACAGATGCTTTCTAGTAATAAAAGGCAAGCCCATTTTCCAAGAGTTATAATGCCACGGGCTAGTGTGGTTAGGTGAAACAATTCTGATAATAGGTGCCCTGGTGCTGGGCCCCTCCCACCACATATTATCATATAGTTGTTGAGGCTGAGCTGGAACTACTGTTGTGTCAGGCTTAGCTAATATTCTCCAGTTAGCTCCCCAATTCTCTATTACAAAAGGACTTTTGGGGAGAAAAGCAATGGCGGCATTCAGTCCTTGGCATAAAGACCAGAAGAGAGAGTCTTTATGGCTAGTGTCTAATGTACAAGGAGGAACTGGAGTAGGATTGAAAGTATGGTAAACCCCCGTGTGGGTACATAGGTTAACTGTGGCTAACACCAAAAGCTAAATAGTAATTATTGCATTGCTCTTTGTTTGCAGCATAAAGTTGCTCTTTTAAAGGAAAGCACAAAGTGAAGAAGGACAAAAAAAAACAAACTGGTAAATGTTCAGCAACATAAACAGTATTTTTTGGTGGTGGTAACCAGTGATTGTTTTCTTCTAGTGGGCCATCAGAGAACATCCACACTCCTCTGGTCCATACTCACTGTGCCCATGTTGTTTTCTTGTGAATATTGTCTTTTTACGTTATTTTCATCTTACTTCCCTTTTCATCCTAATTTAAATTTTACCTCCTTCATCAAGGCCTTTCATAACTGCCTCAGCCTGCAGAAGACAAGCCTCAAGGGTGGGAGGCCCCTGGCTACCTTGTTTTGGTCTAAACTTTTAATGCACAGCCCCAGCTCCCCATCCACCCACCCACTATGGGCTCACTGGGTCAAGGGTGCTGTGGCTTTCTCTGATGGCATTTTCAGCTCTGAAAGTGCTGATGCATATGGTGGTGATGATTGACTCAAAGAACCCTGTTGAAGTAACTCCCAAGTGGCATATTGACCAGAAGGACCAAATCCACACACATTCAATACTAATTTGTCTTTGATTTTGTAATATCCAGCTTGATGCTTTACCTGGATGTTTCTGCAAAATACCCAGACAAGTACTATTCTCTCCAAACAGAGAAAACCCCTCCTTCTCCTATACACTCTTGCTTGGTGCACACATACACTCAGCCATGGTCACCTGCACACATGCTCACTTACCCTCACCTGGCTCATTGCACACAAACAGGCTCATTGCACACATACACATCCAAACAACATATGCTCACCATGTGTGCTCACCTGCAAACACACACTTTCCTGATGTGCCAGCCTCTGACTCCTGCCTTGCTACAGGAGTGAGACACTACTTTTATTTCCTTAACACCCATACCAACCTTGACACATTTCTGGCCACAGAAAGTTATTTTTCATTCCACCAGGTCATGGGTACTCGGTGCTGTCATGTAGCTAGAATGATCAACAGTCACTTCCTCCCTTTGTAAAAAAAATATGGTTTTGCACCTAGAAGATGACTGTTTGGAGATTTGAAGACAGACAATTGAGGAATACATTGAGGTCTGTCGATGTCCCTAGAAAAGAAATTAAACTGCTTAAACTTGTAAAAACAAACAAACAAACAAACAAAAAGATTGCTAGCAACACAAAAGAGCTTCACAGTAGATATCTGTATTCCAGGTAACCCAAGGGACAACATTTGAACAATAGTTCAAAAGCACTCCCTCACAGTCATTTTGAATACAAAAGATGCATTCTAAGTCCAGATTTGTCACCTCTGTGGTCATCTCGTTCAAATTTATATGGACTTGCCTTCTGGGAACCACATCTGCCCCTTGTTGAAATGGAAAGAAATATTTCAAAATAATAACTACACCTTGTAATTAATTATACAGACCTGGCCTCAGATGAACTCATTGCATGATACAGGCATGACCTTGTCTATTCTTGTCATTTTCATTAAAGTGTAATTTATTAGTGTCTTTTAATTGATGGTGAACATCAAAACTGTTGAGGGATGTTCACAGCCTCATCTGGGGTTACAGACTCAGTACAGACATGCAGGGTGAAACCTGGCCATGTGTGACATAGGGACTTGAGTCCTCTACCTACATGGCCAGCACTGAGAGTACATGAACCAGCCTTTGGCCTTCTTTTTGTGTGCCTCTGGGTACCAAGAAGAGTGTAGAAAACCCAGTTGGTTGCCATGGTCCTGGCTGAGGCATGGCCATGGTTCATGTGATAGATCTTTCAGGTATACCTCAAGCATTTGCCTGCCATTTGTCAGCAGGGGCTACTAGCATGCTGGGTCCCTGCTGGCTCTCTTTCCTCTTGAAAGGTTACCCAAGGATGCCAACAGGCCCACAGGAGCCCTGGACAGGAAGGCAGGCCTCTTGGCAGGCCCCTTGGGGAGAGGTCTCCTGCTTTCCCGGGGCCCCCAGGGCTTGGGCTGGGGGCAATAACAGGGTTTGAGAAACCACATGAGATTTCTGTGGGAGCCAGTGGCTCAAAAAGGGGGCTCATTGGGCTCCTACTAACCAGCATTGTTCTCCATAGCTTTGAAGCATGTTGGCTTAGGTGTTCAGCCTTTAGTTGCCAGTTTGGTCAGTAGGGTAATATCTAGGGGAGTAACTGGGATTTGGGGTAACAATAGAAGCAGGGGGGATAATCAAGGGACAAGAGAATAGGGTGGGAGGGGAAGAGGTGGGAAGAGGCTGCTTACCAACAAGAATGGACCAATTTCAATATTTCAAGAACTGGTACAATCCTATCAAAGTCAGCCCTATTTCAAGATCCAAGAAATAGGACAGGATAATTTGTGGTGCTTGTGTGCCTTGCTGAATCTCTGTGTCATCAACTCATGAAATACTGAAGTGCTACCATGTGCCAGCACTATGTTGGGTAGACTAAGATGGTAAGACAAAGCTGACACCTGAAGGAGCTTACAAATGCTGGGGAGGCAGTTTATGCATAGTGAGTACACCAGGATGAGTTCAGGCCCACAAGGAAGAAGCTGCTAAGCTTCCTAGGGCATCCTGGAAAAGGCAGATAATGGGAGCATAGCCCCCAGAACACCTCTCAGCCACCCTCATACAAAAGCCTAGAGACTGGACCACAGTGTGGGAGAGGGGCATAAATGTGCAGCCTCTTGCCTCACAGCAATCCTGCTGTGTTGCCCAGAGTGAGAAGCTCCCCACCACCACCCCGTGCAGCTACACTGTTGGCCAGCTTGTGGTGCTCTCTGTGGAGGAGAGAGTTTTTTTGTTGAAAAAATAATCACAATTATCAGATAGTGAAGGGCAAGAATATCCACATGCCTCATATCACTTGTTTGTAAAATAATGAAATACAGTAAAAGCACCATGGTTTGTGTTGTTAAAAAAACACTTGCTGATTCTCACAGTAGTGCCAGCAGAGTCTGGCAGGGCAGAGAGCTAACTCAATCTAATTCAGACAGGAGAGAAGAGACATATTGAATCTGTGCATGTACAAGAATGATGCAGATTTTTTTCCTACAAGAGACACTCCAGGTTGATGTTCACAATTATCTGCCCCCTGAAGAAGCAGATAAATTACAATATCAAAGAGTAAATTGTGTTCTACTTCTATTAAGAAATCCTATGGAGCGCGGGCTGGGAACCAAAGTGTCCCAGGTTCGATTCCCAGCCAGGGTACATGCCTGGGTTGCAGGCCATAACCCCCAGCAACCACACATTGATGTTTCTCTCTCTCTCTCTCTCCCTCCCTTCCCTCTCTAAAAATAAATAAATAAAATCTTAAAAAAAAAAAAAGAAATCCTTAAATTAGTGCAGGTGATGTCACCTGCCCTCGATACATGCCACATACTCCATTCAACAAAGCAAGCAGAAGAGGGAAGGTTATATTTCATTTCCCAGCTCTCTGGGTCACCTGTGCTGTTCAGGTTCCTTGGCAGGGCTTCTGTAGAAACATTCATGATACCTTTCAGATTTGACTTCAGAAGGCTGACTCCTGTTATTTCTCAATACCATTCTCATAGTCTAAGTATAATGGGGAAGCATAATACTCAATTAAATCTTGTCATTTTACTTTTGCCTAATCCCCCTGGCCCTCCAAATTAACAAGATTTTTTTTTTCTGTTGAGAAAAGAAGTGGATTTGGGTATTGCCCATTAAAATGAAATCCTTAGTAACAATTAAAATGTTTGAAATTCACATATTCTAGAACTATAATGGGGTACAGCCAGGGCCCTCCAAACAAAGGATTTGAAATGGGGTCCAGAAGTTGGGGTGTCCAGGAAATATAGAAATATAGGCTATCCCCACCCCCACAAGCCTGGACTGGAGAATGGGACAAATGGAGCAGGGCCATTGACTGTTATTTTGCATATCAACAAGTCTAGCTAGGGAGATGGGCATAACTTTGACCCTTGAGTTAACTGGGAGGCAACTCCCCTTACAGTGTGTAAGTGACAGCTTAGAAATAGTTTGCTCCATGCCATGGGGCCACACCTGCCAGGACTAATATGGCAGCCAAGAAAAGCAGAGAATACTAGAGTGCTGGCAGATGTAGCCAATTGTGGGAGTCAGAAATGGGGTTATGGAGGAAGACTCATGCTGGGATTTAAACTTAGGCACAGCAGCCATACTGGTTCTAATCACACGATTTTGAGGGTGGAGAGGGAGCTCCCTTTACCACATGGCTTAGGAAGCAGGCTGCAAGATGTAGCAGCCATGGACAGCTATTTCTCTTAGTGGTTTGAAAGAATCCAGGAGAGATAATGCAGGACGTGGGACAATGAGAGACCTTGTGGAAAGAAAGGGGGTGAAAGGATTCTTGATGGTGAGCCATGAGAAGATGCCACATGGTTTTGAATTAAGAACTAGAGATCGTGGGAACATAGCTGATGGTGCTGGGGACCACGGAAAACCTGCCCAATTGAGCATGGATTACCGGGAAGAATTGGGAGAAGAGAGCTGCGGACTTCTGTTCTTTTTCTTCTGGAAGACAGTACTTCTGATTGGCATGTTCTGAGACTGGCCTGCCAGGGCAAAGGGGGGAAGGAAGGGCTGTGTGTGTTTGTGGGTGTTTTAAGGGACTTTGGGATTTTAACAGTGACATTCTGCCATTACTCTAAATCTCTGTAACTTTTAAGTAAATAAATAATTCCAAACTCTAGCATGAGAGCCATAATTCCTAACACCTGGCAGCAGGCAAAAAAATCCACAGTGACAGAGAGACCCCAGGGGAGGAGCCTTGTTTTGGTAACAGTATCTGCTCCTGCCTCCCCACCCACCACCCACCAGTCTATTTGGTAACAGAACTGCCTTTCTGAAAGCATCATTTAGAATGTTTCTGTTCATAGGCAGATGTGTGTAGGGCTCTCAGGACCTTTCAGCTCTTCCTCTACCTCCACTCCAGTCAATAAGCCTAAATTACCCTGAGAGGAAAACTGGGGGGACAGAGGGTCTGCAGGGAACATATGGCTCTAAAGAAGCAGCAGTACTTACTAATTCTGCAGGGTGGCTGTGTGGCTTCAGAAACTAACTATCCTCATCTCTTAGAAGGCTTGGACAATGAATTTAGCCCCTGAGGGCTGATTTTCTCAGCTGTCCAATGGGGACAATTCAGTCCCCTTACATTTTCAGAGCATATAGGTCACCCTTACACACTTAGAGCCACCTCCATTTTGCAGAAGAGAAAAGTGAGGGCACTTGCAGTTTGAAGTATACTTTTGCTAGTGGCAGGAAGTATAAAGGTACAATGTGGAGCAGGGCTGGCTCTAACTTGGGCTGGGGACTCAGTTGGATTGGGATGAAGGTGTTGCTCCAGGGCCACATCAGATGACCCAGTCAGGAATAGAACCGGTAAACAAAGGCCCTGCTGAGTTCCTCCCATGCTGGAACTGATTTGGAACAGGTTGACAGTCTCTAACTCTGTCCTAATCTAGTGTCCACAGGATTTCAGAACACATTCCTGAGTGGCCCACATGCCAGCATTTTGTAACCTTCTTCTCAGCTCTTCCCTATCTTCTAACACTGAAGTGACACAATCCACCCAGGAGAGAAAAGGTCGGAGTTGAGGAACTTGGCAGCCCAGACTTGCTGAGTCCATGGGGCCACATGCAGGGGCACAGCTCTGTCTGTCTGTCTTTGGCTCTGCTATGATGTCCTTTCATCTCTGACACTGGCTGCCCTGGTTGGCCCTTCCACAGGGTCTTCCTGCTCACCCCACTTTCTCTCTTAAACAGAGAGAGCAGGCAACAGGGCCCTTCTAAGGAGGGGAGGAGAAGGTGGGCTTCTTGCTGAATGCCTGGGGCCCACTAGAACCTGCGTAGCCAGTAGCCAGCAAGGATCTCTGACTGCCCTGTGGGTGCATGGTAACAGCCTCTCTGCTCTGATGGCATACTTGCAGCTTTTAGCTTTCACTTCAGAAAAGAGCTTTGTTCTCTCCTGTCTGGTTGACAAAAGCCTACCTTTGCCATGTTGGAAAGGTCTTTCTTCTTAGTCTTTTGACAAACACAGTAACTTCTGTAAGAGAAATACACATGACCATTATTGATACTATAGTGCCACATTCTCATGTAAGATGGCGTGAAGGACAAGGCATGTGCCTAGATGCCTTACACACAGGGAAGGCTGCATGCATCCTGCTTCCACTGTCTGCTAGCACTTTCTCAACTGGCAACTTTTCTAGATACTCCCCATCCATCCCAGAAAGACTAAGAAATCCCAGCCTCTGCCAAGCCTACTTAAAGGAGGTTAGGATTTTTACCTAGAAACCCTGAGTTCCCTGGACTTTCTCATTTCTACAGTGCCTTCTTCAGAAAATGACTGAAGGAAAGGATGAAAAGAGAAAGCATACAGAGAGAAGGGTGCTTTCTTCTTAAATATATCATTTATTCACATGACAAATATTTCTGAGAAACACTTGTACACATTTGCCCCATAAATATTCTGTGTGTTTGCTGAATTAGTAACAAGATGTGTCTGGTCAAGTCACTGGGGACCAGGGGAGACCCCAATCCAGGAGAAATCCTGATCCAGCCAGAGCCAGCACCTCCCCCCGCAAAGGGAAGGAGTTGCACAAAGCACTGGTTAAGAAGGGTTGAAGGCAGCCCAGGAATAAACTTGGATCTGAGATTTGATAGGCTTCCATGTCCCAAGGCAACTATAAACAAAGGCAGTGTGGTTGCACAAACCAAAATGCATTTCCTCAGTAGCTGAGCAGCTTGTGACACAGCTGGAGGAAGCTAGAACAGAGCCTGTGTAGGCTGTGGGGGCTGGATGCCCTATCCCTGTGAAGACACTCATGCCCTTGCACTGGCTGGGAAACTCTACCCATGTTGAGAAAATGGCAGTTAAGAGAGGAACAAAGACACTGGGGGGCTGACAAACATGGTGGACATTAGCACACATTGGTTGAAAAGCCAGATGCTCTGTCATGCATGGGTTTCTAGGCAAAGACTTCTTCAAATGGAACACATGGGGAAACTGCTTGTTCTTTGCCTTACATGGGTGGGAGTGCTTGTGGGACTGGCAGACACCAGGCCCACACAGTGCTTTTTGCCTCACAGGGCCAAGGCCAGCCCACAGAGGTGGAGTCCTGAGCTGGGATGTGCCTCACTGGGTGCCAAACCTTGAGATACTGTGACCATGTGTAGCACAGCACATGGGTCCTAGACTGCTTCCATTCTCTCACCCTGAGAGCAGCACAGATGCAAAAGCCAGGAAACATCCTTAGCCCCAGAGGTATGAGCAGCCTTGGTTACTGGGGCCTAACAGACTGAGACCCTAGCCCATTGGGCTGCATTGACCAGGAAGTATACCCCAGCCAGGTGCCCTGGCCCTGGGACGGTGAGAGAAGCTACATGAAGTGATGGGGATGGTGGTACCCACAAGTGTGCACACCAGGGAGAGAGAGCCTGAGGATGGAAACCTCTTTGTGTAGCCACCTTTGGCTCTAAAAGTATAGATTAAAAATGATGGGGAACTTCTGGGCATGGGTTTGGGTTTCAGTCTTTCTAGAAACAAGGGAATTTCTGTGTTTTGCAAACAAGGTTGGCTTTGGAGCAGGGATGCTCCCAGACCCCCCAAATTGGATACTGTGTTAATAAAAACCATTTTCCTTCTCCACCAGTCCTTGTGTTACACTTGTACATGGCAGCAGGTGGCAAGACCCTAGGCTATCTGGTTACAAATTGTTGGATGAAGTAGGGCAGCCTCCACCCTCAAGGGGCTCATGCTCCAAGAATGGGTCATCAGGTTTACTGGCTTACCAACCACAGGGAAAGTGCTTCCTGACACTGTGAGAGGTTCAGGGGAGGGACAGGCCTGTTTGGAAGATGGTCTCAGAGATGAATTCACTTAGAAGGTAACATTCAATCTGGGTTTGAATGTGTAAGTTAGGAGTTAGCCAGGGGAACAGGCATGGGAAAGGCAATCTGGGCACAGAGAGGGGCAGGAAAAGCCTTTTTGGAGACACCCTGTCTTGTGTTTCTGGGGAGACCAGTAGGGGGTCCCTTGGGGAATGGGGACCAGAGCCAAGCAGTGAATGATATTACCCAGTGAGAGAAGGAGAATAGGCCCTCCAGGCAGCAGGGGCCATGGAATATTTTTAATTGACCAAGTCACTGTTTTAAAATAATCATAGGGTCTAGAGATCCAAGAAGGCAGAGGAATAAGGGGAAGCTACACTAACCTCCTCCCAGGACCAATCTGGAATTGCAAGTAAATTGTAGAGAAATTGTCCTGAATAACCAACTGAATACTAGCTGGAGAGAAACCTTATCACCAAGGACAGACAGAAGAAACCACTTTACCACAATGAAACTGAAGGGAATGCAGAGGAGGTGAGAAAGGGCTGGCTGGGCTTTCATGGGCAACAGCTGAACTTCTGTAGGAACATTCCAGCAGCTGTGGGGTTACACCTAAGGAGTATAGGGTCTAAACCACAAGTTAGTCTTTCAAGCCTATATCACCAAAGCCAGAAAGGAACCTGGATAACATTTAGCTATGAAAAGCAGCAGGGTTTCTGTCTACCAGGGAGACAGATGGCTGGAGACTCAGAGAATTTCTTAAAGATGCAACACAAAAAGTTTCATTTGCAGCCACTTACCCTGAGCTCTGGGAGAGGGAGGGCAAAGTGTTCTAGAGATGTGTGAGGAGAGTCTAGGGTTGGTCACTCTGGGGAGAGAATTGAAAAAAAAAAAGCTCGCAGGATCCCTGTGCTGAGTCATTTCCCATACTGTAAGAGCCACCTTTCTCAGGCAGAACACTGCCCTCCAAGTGGCATCAGCTTGAGGAGAAGCAATAGCCCAACCCACAGGAATTGCTTTTTCTCCAACCCCTGTGGAGCTTAAGCTGTGCTGCTGATCACAAATTGAATAGTTTAACAACTGATCAGTTTAACAACTGATTAATTTTAGCAACTAAGGCAGAAAATACAAAGAATCTACCAAAATGGGGAGACAAATAAACAGACCCCAAATTAAAGAACAAGAGAATTTTCCAGAAGAACTAGATGAAAAGGAGGCAAGCAATTTATCAAATAATGAGTTTAGAGTAATGATTATAAGGATATTCAAAAGCATGAAAAAAGACACAAAAACATGAAAAAGAACCAATCAGAAATAAAGAATGCAATATCTGAAATAAATAATACACTGGAGGGAATAAATAGTAGGTTAGATAAAGCAAAAGATTGAATCAGTGATTTGGAAGACAAGGTAGAAAAACACCCAAGCAGAGTAGCAAAAAAAAAAAAAGAAAAAAAATGAGAATTTAAGAAACATTTTGAACAATGTGAATCATAACAATATCCACATCATGGGAATACCAGAAGGAGAAGAGAGTGAGCAAGGGATCAAGAACTTATTTGAGGAAATAATGACAGAAAACTTTACTAATCTGGTGAAGGAAAAAGACACACAAGCCCAGGAAGCTCAGAGGATTCCAAACAAGTTGGATCAAAGGAGGCACACACCGAGACATCATAATTAAAATGACAAGGTTTAAAGGCAAGGACAGAATCTTAAAGAAGCAAGAGAAAAGCAGGTAGTTATCTATAAGGCAGCACCAATTAGACTCTCATCTGATTATTCAACAGCAACATTTCAGGCCAGAAGGGAGTGGTGTGAAATATCTAAGGTGATGAAAAGCAAGGACTTACAACTAGGGTACTTTATCCAGGAAGGCTATCATTTAAAATTGAAGGAGAAATAAAAAGCTTCCTAAACAAGGAAAAAGCTAAAGGAGTATTTTACACCAAACCAGTACTGCAACAAACGTTAAAGAGCTTGCTTTAAGAAGAAAAAAAGAAAAAGAGGAAACAAACAAACAACAACAACAACAACAAAACAAAACAAAAGAAGCCCTGGCTGGCATAGCTCAGTGGATTGAGCACAGGCTGTGAACCAAAGTGTCGTAGGTTTGATTCTCAGTCAGGGTACATGCCTGGGTTGCAGACCATGACCCCCAGCAACCGCACATTGATGTTTCTCTCTCTCTCTCTCTTTCTCCCTCCCTTCACTCTCTAGAAATGAATAAATAAAGTTTTTAAAAACAAAAACAAAACAAAAGAAAATAGTCTAATGATAAAATGGCACTGAATACCTATCTATTAATAATCACCTTAAATGTAAATGGCTTAAATACTCCAACCAAAAGACAGAGTAGCTGAATGGATAAGGAAACAATAATACCCATATATATGCTTCCTTCAAAAGATCCATCTCAGATTGAAAGATACACACAGAGGAAAAGTAATGGGATGGAAAAAGATATTTCATGCAAATGCAAAGGAAAACAACACTGAGGTAACAGTATTTATATCCAACCAAATAGACTTTAAAATCAAGGTTTTAGTAAAAGACAAAGAAGGACACTACATCATAATAAAGGGAACAATCCAACTAGAGGATACAACCCTAGTAAACATTTATGCACCTAACATAGGAACACCTAAATATGTGAAGCAAATCTTGATGGACATAAAGAAGGAGATCGACAGAAATACAGTCATAGTCAGGGATTTTAACACCTTATTGACTTCAAAGGATAGACCTTCCAGACAGAAAATCAACAAGGAGACAGTGGCCTTAAGTGCCACAGTAGATCAAATGGATTTAATTGATCTCTTCAGAGCATTTCACACCAAAGCAGCACAATATACATACTTTCCAAGTGCACATGGAATATTTTCTAGGGTAGACCACATGTTAGGACACAAAATGAATCTCAATAAATTTAGAAAGACTGAAATCATATCAAGCATCTCCTCTGACCACATTGCTATGAAACTAGAAATCAATATTAGAAATCAAATTGAAAAATATGCAAATACATGGAGCTAAATAACATGTTATTAAACAATGAGTGGGTCAACAATGGGATAAAAGAAGAAATTAAAGATATTTGAAACAAATGAAATGGAGGACACAACAATCCAAAATCTGTGGGACACTGGGAAAGCAAGCCTAAGAGGGAAATTCATAGCATTACAGGCCTATCTCAGAAAAACAAAATGCTCA